TTTAAAGGCTTTTACGTTCTTCAAGGCATCTCCATCAAGTGTAATTCAGTTGGAGCATGTTATGTTCTATCAAAGATTCTTACTTTTTCCTTTATATATAGATGTTGAGACCTGCTACTAACTACACTGGTCATCTTCCCTTGAATTTGTTGCTGTATGTGGAATAGAAAAGCAAGAGCATCTGAGAAGTCGATATCACTTAATAAATAAGACAAAACATCTAGTTTCAATTTCGCCTACAGAGAAGGCTGAGGCAGGTTCGATAGATTGTACACTCTTAGTCAATTAAAAACGAAAACATTACATTGAACACTCTATTTGCACACCATCTTTGAGTCCTGACTTCCAACGCTCCAGCCTTCTTCCATTCCTGCTGTTGCTTCCTTTATTTCCTGTCGGTACTCCATTTACTTCTTGCTTTTGCTCCATTTGCTTTCCGTTTTCCTCTAGTGACCGTGAGACTTCTTCTTTCACGTCCTTTCTTATACTACTTATTTCGTTCGTATAAGTAGCACACACCACACTACTAATCATAATCTATCTATTCTCACTCATCATTATTCAACAGTTTTATTGAAAAGTGCGAAATTCACTAATATTCATGTGATGGAAACGTATATAACAAATTAACAAAAATGTCTCCTTAAAAAATGCACTACTACTACTAGTAGTAAAAGGCAGCAATTCGTATTCGTGTTACGCAACTTACGCGTAGCTAAAAAGCCAACAGACAATGAATAATATTTCCTACTTTTACACGACAATAAAATCCAATGCAACATAGGTCGATCTATCTATCTATCCTATATACATTACATATAAGTAATACAAATAATCGTCATCATTAATTAACAAATTAATGAGATCAACACTGACTTTTCCTTTTTCCCCCACTGTTCAAGAACTCGTCTCGTTATATAACAACGAAAATTGTTCGCACTTTTTATTTCTCTCTCCTGTAATATATGAAACGAATTTTTTTTTTCACTAAAATGTACACATTTTTGTGTTTAGAGAGAGAGAAAGAAGTGGAAATGTGTGTTTTGTCTTGTTTCTTTTCTTGTGACACAGTTGTGTTATGATGATGCATGTGTGCGTGTGTGTGTGTTTTGCATGAATGAACAAGAAAGAATTTCATTGAAACATTGAATAGGTAGGTTTTAGGCTAGATTTTTATTACTTACTTACTTACGCCTGTTACCCCCAATGGAGCATAGGCAACCCACCAGTTTTCTTCAACCAACTCTGTCCTCCAGTTCTGTCCAATGTTTGTTCATTCCTCTCATATCTTTTTCTATTTCTCGGCATAATGTGTTCCTTGGACTTCCTCTTTTCCTTTTTACCTGAAGGGTTTCATGTGAGAGCTTGTCCCGTGACGCTGTTAGGTGCTTTTCGTAATGTGTGTCCTATCCACTTCCACCGCTTCTTCCTGATTTTTTCCTCCACTAGAGTCTGGTTTGTTCTCTCCCACAGTAGGTTGTTGCTGATCGTGTCTGGCCAATGAAGTATTTTGCGTAGACAACTGTTTATAAATACTTGTATCTTCTCGATGATGCCTTTCGTAGTTCTCCAGGTTTCCGCTCCATACAGTAGAAGTATCTTGACATTTATATTAAAAATCCTGATTTTGATTTTGGTTGACAGTTGTTTGGAGTTCCAGATATTTTTCAACTGTAGAAATGCAGCTCTTGCTTTGCCAATCCGCGCCCTCACATCTGCATCCGATCCACCTTTCTCTTCGATGATGCTGACCAGATATGAAAACATGAAAATACTAGGCGATTGTTTGGGAATCTCATGTGTCAGTCAGACTGAAGAGTGTAGGATTTTTAATTCCTTTGTATCAGGTTGTAAATACGCACTGATGATGAGTTTTTCGGAGTAGGATCAAATGACCTTCCACTGATTCTAGGTTTTTAGTTGTTGCCTGACTTGGATCTAACTTGTAAATACATTCTACAGAATTAGCTTTTAAATACTGAGCAGTTAGTTTGTTTATACAGTATTCATGTAATTTAAGATCTTCAAGAGGAAATCGTTTGTCACTAATGTAGCACATAGGCCATCGAGAAGCGAATTATTTGTCTCTCAACCAGCTGAAATTGTACGGGATGTGGTCGCTTACCACACTATGCCCAACCCTCCTTCTTTATGCGTGCTCGGAACCGCTATACTGAGCGTGGCTGATGGGTCGGGATAGGCGAGGAGCGTGGCTTGAGCTAAAGCTTTTTTAATCTCGGAAAATGCAGTACGCGCGGCATCGTTCAATTCTAGTTTACGTGGATTACCGCGAAGTAGATCGGTTAGTGGTCGTAACTGTTCCGCGGCGTGAGGAATGAAACGTCGGTAGAAGTTGGCCAAACCGAGAAAAGCCTTCAGTTCTTTGAGTGAAGAAGGTACAGTTTAGTCCATGATCGTACGTATTTTATCTTCACAAGGTAAAATACCCTCATGCTTAATAACATGACCCAGGAATTTTATTTCTGCTTTTCCGAGTTCGCACTTCTCTGGGTTGATTATTATTCCGTTATCCGAGAGACGTTGGAATAAGAGTGTAAGATGTTGATAGTGTTCATCTACGTTTGATGATGCGATTAACAAGTCATCAGAATAGACGTGAACAAAATCAAAGTTTCGTACTATGCTATCGATAAACTTCTGGAAAGTTTGAGCAACATTCCGTAATCCAAATGGCATTCGTAGGAACTCAAACAGACCGAAAGGAATCGTGACAGCAGTCTTCTCAATATCCTCAAGAGCGACTGGGATCTGATGGTATGCTCGTACCAGATCGATCTTAGAATAGATATTCGTGCCCTTGAGTGATGCCGTGATGTCGTGTATGTGGGGGATCGGGGTAACTATCGAAACGTGTGACTACATTTAGTGCTCGGTAGTCGCCACATGGTCGCCAACTTATCCCATCCTTTTTGCGAACTATGTGGAGTGGTGAGGCCCATGGACTGTGAGAAAGACAAATAATACCTGTCGCTAGTAAATTGTCGAACTCACGTTTAGCGGAAGCTAATTTGTCTAGTGCCAGTCGGCGAGGCTATGCCGTGACTGGCAGTCCGCGGGTGACGATGTGGTGAACCACATGTCGGGTCAGCGATGGAGTCTCCTCGAGTGGTTTAGTTAGTTGAGGGAAGTTTTCGAGTAAGGCGTGGAAAATGTCATTGCGCGAATGAAATAAACCTGTTACCCGGTACGCATTTGTTTGAGCTCGAAAGCCCATAAATTTACTATTCGACGAAGTATCGATTAGCTGCAGCCTTCGTGAATCAACTAGCAATTCATAGTGCTGTAGGAAATCGATACCGAGTATAGCTGTGGGAACATCAGCAATGATGAACGTCCACAGATACTGTCGTCGGTTGCTCAGGTTGACCGTTAGCTGTCGTGTACCATAGTTAGGAATGACAGAGCCATTCGCAGCGCGTAATCGAATTATTGTAAGTTGTGACTTGTTGCTACCTAATGGTACGATAGAAACTTGGGCACCTGTATCAACGAGGTACCTAGAGTTCGTGCGGGTATCGTGCACGTAAAATAAGCGGCCAACCTGGGGTGAGTGGCCGGCGATTAGGGCCGCTTTTACTCGCCGGCTTGGGAGTTTCCAGCCTTTTATGAGCAGGGAGCTCGACAATGATGGGCGCCGGACCTAAAAGTCCGGTGGAACCAGCACCAACCAGTGCTCGCTTCCGAAGCCGCCCGTTGGCGTGGCTTGGAAGATGCCTGCTTGGGGCGAGTACTTGCAGCCTTTCGTGATCGTGATCGCGCTCGTCGGATGTAGGGTTCAGGTACGTTAGAACGATCTCGGAAACTGAGACGGCCGTGGATACAGCAACCCTTATCTTTTTGAGCTTTAACCTGATTGGCATCGAGATCCACGCCGGTATGTGACGTGGACGCAACCGTATAGTTGTCTCGATGGCCAGTTCGTGCAACAACTCTGTCTGATACGAGTGTGACTTGGCTAAGCGGCATATCCTCGGGCAGAGCGGCGATCGTAGGCTGAACGTGAGCTGGTAATGAATCTAGCCACAGTTCCTTAACTATATCCGAGTCGGATGCTTTTGGTCCTGCTGATGATTGCAGGCGCGTGAGGTGGTGGCTAGGTTTAGCATCACCCATAGGGTGACGTGCTAAAAGCGTCCGCAAACGTTCCTCGTTCGATGGGAGGAAATGCTGGAGAATCGCCTGCTTGAGACGATTATAAGCATCTGGTGCATTAGGATTGAGGCTGACCTCACGGACAGCAGCTATATGATCCCCGGGTAAAGATTCCAGGGCAAAGGCGAACATTAGCCGCTGGTTCGTAATGCGACGGATCTCAAACTGAGTTTCCAGTGTCGCGAACCAGTATGAAAAAATAAAGCAACAGAATAAATATTATGACAAATGGATAGAAAATTGACAGACTCACCGAGTTTGATTGGGTTTTTGGCGAATATATCCAAAATTAATTGCATGTTGCAAACAACGTGCTCACCAGTGTTATGGTTGAGATGGTTGCCAAGTTTAAACGCCCAAACGTACTCCAAATCAAAAGTCCAAATAAAGAATATCGATATTTATTGATAGGAAGTCGCGTGATATCAAACTAATATCACGTGTTCAGCCAGCGAAATAGTAGTAGTCACACGAAACGATCAATAAGTCCACAGGGTTGGCGAGGTTGGCGCTTGAATTATGACTTCAAGTACAGATAAACAAAAGGTGTACAATAAAACAGTGATTGTTACACATGTTCAATAATCAGTATTTATATGTCAGTAATCATGTTTTCTTCACAAACAAGTTCCACTCTACAAGGGCTCCAGGCAGAGTTATGTCAGTCAGTAGATATACACATACACAAATGAAAGTCATCAAAAGTAAAAAAAAATAAACCACTTAGGCTTGGAATATTGAATATTCTTCACCTGTGTTAGTCATAATAAATTGTTACATTGAATATTGAATTTTTCATCAACCAAAATGTTGTTTTTTTTGTTTAGTTTTTTTTAGTTTATATCATTCTTATCAATTTGATTCAATAAACCAATATGGCTTCCAATGAAGAAGAACATGGTGCAAGTTTTTTAAAATCGAATACAAACAAAGTCAATGATAATACAAGTTATGAATTGAAAATCATGAATCAAGATAAAACTAGAGAAATTAATCGACGTAGTAAATTACAAAAGGTAATTAAATTGTTCATAGTCATAATAATTATTATGTCTTTTGGTATAAATCTATTTTCTTTTGTTTTATGAGTTTGATTTGATACAAAATAAGCATTTTTTTGCAATGAATGTCAGTTTGTGAGTTTTGATGTTCCATGGGTGAAGTGTTCGCACTCAAGATTCAAGGCCCTATCCTTAGTTTTTGATTACAAAATAGTAGATGTACACTGACTGATAAGGAGCCTTTTACATTGACGTTCTAAATGGTTATCTGATTCGGAGAGGTTTGTGAGTGCCATTAACATATATACGCTAGATATACCCGTCTGGTTTGTTTACATGTTGTATTTAACGTTGAAATTAGATTTATCCATGGTATTTGCCTTGATTGTACTTGAGAGTAAATCTAGGAACTTCTATCAATGGGGATGACCATAATCCCTTTTGACTAATAGGTTACAGTCAAATAAATACGTAAACCGAGATTTATCAGTTAGTATTTCCTACATGAGAATAAAAATGGTGCATTTATATTCAAGTGTTTCATTGAAATCATGAATCGATCAACGTTAAACCGCTGAGCTCACATGACGTGTCATTTGACCTTGTCAATCATTCGTCGCTTTGTTCATGTGTGCCTATTTCGCTTGTTGCATGTCTGTCTTATATTCGCCTGACCATATATTCTTAGTCTTGCTCTATTTTCTTTGAGTTGGCTCTTAGCCTTCTCCGATGCGCTTCGCCTATTCGTTCGCTTCCTTCGCTCACTGTGTAGTGAAAGAGAACACAGGTGGAGCAACCGAATTGTATTTAATGAAAATTACAGAGTTACTCAGTAAAATCGGAAAACCATATCGTAAATTGTTCATTTGCGAAAGATCAGTTCATCCTATGGAACTGGACTGTTCCTGTTGCCAAACATCAATCCATTGTCACTATTCATGACGCGTTTCATACAAATTCCATTGTTTTCTAACTCTTCCTTTCTTGATCTTCCCCCCATATTATGTTGCCGGACATTACGTTTACACTCACGTCATATACTACTTATAAGTAGCTCACACCACAACTGTTTCGCTGCTTTTCAACTCCACTATGTGGTGTGTCGAAAATATAAACGTATT